TATGTAACTGAACTCGCAAACGCCTTAAACAAAATCCATGCCCAAGTTTTCTCTTCAATTCCAGATCCTGATTCTGACACAGGCAACCACAGTCTGCTCCCCGATGACTGGGTTCTGGTCAAGAAATTTGTGCGAAAACAGTAAATGTCCGTTCCAAGTTCTCCTGATCTCCCCTACCTCTGTCAAATTGGCCGGAAGGCCTAACTGGATCCACGCTTCCCATTGCAAGAAGACACCTGCCCCAGAGGAAGCTAACTCTATGCAACCATGTGCCTCTGGTACATTATCTCCTTAGTTGGCCTCCTTAAAGCCCAGCAGGTGGCCATCACCAAAGATGCTAGTGGGTACACCTTCTGGTATAATTCATCATGTACCCGTGTGGCTACTTATACTTTTGACTACTGTGACATCGTAGAATGCCCATTCCCCACGTCACAGATTCAGAATATCTATAGAGATATCCCTCATTCAAAAGACCCCTATGTTTGTGTAGTTGACAAACAATGGGGGCACAACTGTAACCATTGGGGGGCGGCGGGATGGAATGCCGGGCCTGCCTGGGGTTACAAACCAAAAAGTGTCTTATCTAAAATTCATGATCACGGTAGGTCCCTCCTCCAGAGAATGACTCTGAGAAAGCCCGGAGGAGGCATACCTATGAAATTAATCTTAAACATTGAGCATCCCAGCCCAACGGATGCAGACCAGTATGTAATGGGAATGTACTGGAAGAAGGGTTCCTATAATAAATTAGGACATTTCCACCTTAAAGATATGTGCCACTCTCCTGAGTGGAAAGGGACCACCCACATGGTCTCAAATCCGTTGAAACCACACATCCAATCTTTTAAAGACATGATGGCCATTGCAAATCCAACATTTGAAGATACCATGGCCGCTGAAACAGGTTTCAATGATGTTAATCTATGGTTAGAATGGATGAAATATAATGCCAACAAACATAACAGAACCGCATGCTATGTGTGTGGTGGTGCCCGGCCGCACCTGGGCACTGTGCCTTCAACTTTGCCAGTAGATATAGAAGAATGTGTTCTGAGTCTTTTTGCCTATCACTACAATTTCAATAGGTCCATATGTAAAGCATGGACAGTAGAGTATCCTCTTCTAGTCAAAGATTGCAAACCCCCAGATGGTGTTACCGTCTATAAAGGTAATTATACCTGTTATGCTAATTATGATGGAATTGGTAAATTTGTGGGTAACTTCTCTAAAGGTTATTGTGCCACCTACAGAACTGTCTCTATGAACCTCCTACAATTCCACACTAGATCATTGGGGGATATTTACTGGTTGTGTGGGGATCTACAGCTGAGATCAAGAATGGATAAAGAATGGTGGGGGGAGTGTACTCTGGCTAAAGCAATCATGCCCATACATATTATCTCTGACACACACCCCGATACTCATGAGTCCAAACACTCACCAACCAAGGTAAAGCGTGAAGCCCCAGTAAAAGGCAGTTTTGACCCTCATATTTACATTGATGCCATTGGGGTACCTAGGGGGGTGCCCAATGAGTTTAAAGCCAGGGATGAAGTTGCTGCAGGATTTGAATCACTTTTTACCATAGTCACTGCAAACAAGAATTTAAATTGGATAAATTACATCTACTACAACCAACAACGGTTTGTTAATTACACCAGGGATGCCCTTCAGGGTTTGGCCGAACAGTTGCAGGCTACGTCCCAAATGTCATTCCAAAATAGAATGGCTTTAGATATGATTCTAGCAGAAAAAGGAGGGGTATGTAAAATTCTGCCTGACACCATGACATGTTGTACTTACATCCCAGAAAACACAGGCCCCAATGGTAAAGTAACCTTAGCTATAGGAAAATTGAAAGAGCTCTCTGAGGAGCTAAAGAGGAACTCTGGGATAAAAGATCCCTGGGAGAGAAGGTTTGGTTGGATGACAGGATGGCAAAAAGCTTTGATGCATATTGGTATAGCAATACTAATTTTCCTTTTTATCTTTGCTCTTCTCGTTTGTTGTGTCCTCCCTTGTCTGAGAAAGCTCCTCTTGAAGACTGTAGACCAAGCGGCACCCACTTACGCACACCTCACAGTTGATGACCAAGATTTCCAAAAAGTCAACTCGCCCTGTATACCGCTACAATCTATCCCGTTTATTGATAAAGTGCAAGAGTTCTAGGAAGGGACCAGCTTAGGGACAGCATCTGTCTGTCTGGGAAGTCTACCGTGCGGAGATGTGGTGGGTTAGCCACCTCGGGATACCCATGGAGTGAAGTGTTCGAGTGCCCAGCGGACAGATGAGTTAGCCAATTAGGGACAGACGAAGGGACAGCTTTGCACTTTGCAATAACACCTAGCTAGCGGGTCACGGGGTTTCTGTGCCTTTGGGCTAACACGTCTTCTGATACTAACAAATAAAGATTATCTTTTAGAATCTAACATTTCATAGGGGGGACTGATGTAGAATTATTAAAATCTTTATTAGAACCTGTATTGAATTATTGTACTAACTCCATTTTGTTCACCTTACATGACAGAATTTCCTGACAGTATTCAGTATAATGAATAAGAGATTGTATTTTCTCTCTCTAAGGACATAACTAGCCCCGGAGTTAGCGGATCTCCGTTGACTTGCAACATAGTATAATCCAAGGCCAGGAGAACAGTGACAAAATGAAATGTTCTATTCATAAAAGAACCTTGGAACAGACCACGAGACTGACATCACTAACTACGTAAAATGACGCCCAAGCCCCCCTTTCCACCGAGTAAGCCTCGTGCTAAAGAGCAATGGCGACGACATCCCATGATGGGAGGGTGCCTCACTAGTCACTCAAATCTCTGAGCCAATTAATAATATTAATGGGTGGACACTGACATAGCCACTTAACATTTAACCCAATTAATGATGTTTATTTGTTATTATCTGATATTCAATGATGATGTCATTTTGCATATAAAAAGGCCTGCGTGCCCACTTTTTAACTAGATGCTAATAAATTTCCTGAAGTGTTTTTAACCTGAACTGCATGTGTCAGTGTGAACTTACTTCTGCGTATACGCAATTTATTCATCTCAGATTTGGACAGGAACAGATAGACTTTTAAACATTTTTGTTTATTTCTAAATTAATCTACATCACTATCATGAAACCCAATCTGTGGGATTCAGATCAGCTTTTACCCAAACAAATATTAGCTTTTTAGTTATGCGATTTTATAATTAATATAATTGTCTTATATTTACCGATAGATGTCTGTTGGATTCTCTGGAGTAGATTGATTCAGTGTTAATGAATTATAGTTAAAAAGTTCTGGTAGAGATAGGTAGAATTTCTAAGAACCTTTTTCCCTGGTAGAGATAGGTTAAGTTTACAGATAAGTAAAGAGTAAGATAGTTTCAAGATGTCTTCTAGATTGTCAGATGCCAAGAGATCGTCCGACTAGTATGACGTTGATGTGAGATCTGATGTTTGTCCTCTTTGTCCATCTCTCTATCCCTATGTCATGGGGTTATATGTCATTCCTTATCTGTTAACCTTCTGACCTGGTTCAATTAAATTTTGGGACAAGTTTTCATGTTAATGGCTGTTGACGTCATTTTGACATATATTTCTATATGTTTCAAACAGCAGGTGGAGCTGTTGGTTTATGTCAGGAACATTACCAGCTATTATCGTAGAGGGTTAATCCTTGTTCAGCACAATTTAGGAATGTTTAATTTAAAATGCTTTAGTCAATATTTCTTCTATGTGGACTTTGGTTGTTCAACCAGTGTCCTTGTTCACCTAAGCGTAATGGCATTTAAAGATTTATTTAAAGTAGTCTTACTTAATTTATCTATATCGATTACATCTTTATATATAACTTCAATAGTCCTTGCACACAAACTTAAATATTTATGTCACCGGGTGCATTCTTGAAGCCAAATGCCAAAACATATAGTATAAATAGATAAATAGTAAGAGGCTTGCACTCGTTTTTTTGAAGTAGAAAAAAAAAAAAGTTCCTTTATTGTATGTTCATTAAAAACTGATCAGCGTTCCAGCCCCCATATGTGGCTTTCCTACAGGATCAATACATAACCAAGCGACCAAAGTATCCAAAATAGTGAAAAAGAACTGGAACATGCTGGCGTGTGATGACACACTACCGAAAGCATTTAAAGAATCTCCAAGGATATGTTACCATAGGAACAGAAACCTGAAAGACATTAGTAAAGACCGACCCTGAGGACAGTTATTTACAGCAACACAAGCAAGAGGATGTACTCGCTGTTTAGGATGCGTGACCTGTGGGCATATGGTCCCCTCACTGAATTTCAACCACCCACATAAAAACAAGATCTACAGAATTAAACACACAATCACCTGCAAAACGTCCTGTGTGATCTACAAAATCTCTTGTCCTTGCGGTTTAGTATACATCGGAAAGACTGAAACACAATTATGTGATCAGATTAGAGGACATCGGTCCAGTATAAGAACAGCATACAGGGATGTACGAACTGATAAACCGGTGGCGAAACATTTTTTAGAACGTAAACATCCACTCACAGCATTGAAATTTGTGGCAATAGACCATGTACCACTGTCAAGAAGGGGAGATGATAGAGGAAATTTGTTACTAAGAGGAGACACATTTTGGATACAAGAGCTAAATACAGTTGCACCCAAAGGTCTAAACGAAATGATATCATATCATTCGTTTATATGAATACCTAAAAGATGGTTGGCCTTCAATAATATGTTTTTAATAATAAATTTTAATGTTAGAGTATTTATGTGTACAATACTCTTATTAAGTTTGGTGTATAGAGTATGTACATATAAATTCAGAGGTATAACAGTGACTTGTAAGTAAAACGTTTAAAGAGACGGATACAGTGCTACAAATTTAATTGTATTAAAGTAAGCATATTCAAATTCAGGTTAGTGTTACTGATTACATATAAGGGTTTCCAATTTAAGCAGCTAGTTTGTAATAAGGGACTGATATAACTAGACACAAATAGAGTATTAGACACTTTACAGAATAATTGATGCACTTTAATGTACATAGAGGTAAATCTTAGCACTTTACACTTAAATAATGTACATTAATGTACATAATAGCACAAAATTCATTTTTTGCAAGCACTTTTCGTGTATATAAACACACGTTTGTCACTTTAAATTTCATATGCACTTTAAATAAGTATGTGTTGTTATAATGGTACTTTAAAACATATATAGGCAATATATAAATCAATCACCTTGATCAGGGTAGAAGGCAAAACATATGTGATTACCACTTTAATGTACATAAAACACACAGTTGTCACTTTAAAAACCCTTTTAGGCACTTTATTGTATATAGAAGCATTTGTGTCATTTTAAAATAGATACTAGCTGTTATGTGGGATATAAACACGTTAATCCAGCAAGATGTGTATGTTAGTGAGACCTTTGTATGATAGTATGATAAGCACGAACAATGTATTTGTTAGTCCTCTAAGAAATGTAGTCCGTTCAAGCTAAGATATTAATCAATCAGGTTCTATGGTGTTATGCTACACTAAATCATATTAAATCACTGTTTTAGGTATTATCGTGAAGGATAGGTTGTGGTCCCGGCGCATATTACGTTATGTTTACCCCGGTAGCTATGAGCCCGAGGATACATCGGGTTACCAGGGCAACAAGGGAAGACGTCCATACGCAACTTCCGGGTTGCGATATACTGGCACATGCGCACTCTGAATAAAGAGACGCCGAAGGGACTAAGTGAACACCTGAGTGGTGAATGCTTTTCTAATTAATCAATTGTTTTGGTAAATTTCGGAAGTGCCAAACCAAAGTGCCGAATTTCGGAAGTGCCGAACCGAACCAAATTTTTTGGGCATTCACATCCCTAATATTTATAAATAATCTTGCAACAGGCATTGAAAGCCATGTTTTAGTGTTTGCAGATGACACAAAACTTTGTAAAAGTAATAGAATGTAAGCAGGATATTGCTTTGCTGCAGAGGGATTTAGATAGATTGGGGGACTGGGCACTAAAATGGCAGATGACATTTAATGTAGAGAAATGCAAAGTTATGCACTTTGGGGTCAAGAATGCACAAGCAACTTACACCGTAAATGGTAGTGAATTAGGGATAACAACCCACGAGAAGGATTTGGTAATTGTTATAGACAAATTAGGCAGCAATATGCAAAGTCAATCTGTAGTTAACAAGACCAGTAAGTTTTTGTCATGTATAAATAGGGGCATAAATTCCCGGGATGAAAATTACATTTTGCCTCTTAATAAGTCGCTGGTAAGACCAAACCTTGAATATTCTGTGCAATTTTGGGCACCTGTTCTAAGAAGGATATCATGGCACTAGAAAAAGTGCAGAGACGAGCTACAAAATTGATCAAAGGAATGGAGCATTTTAGTTACGAAGAAAGGTTAAGAAATTTAAATATCTTTAGTTTGTTAAAACGGCGCCTCAGAGGGAATATGATAACATTACAAAATATATTCGGGGCCAGTACAAACCATTATCTGGAAATCTATTCATGAACAGGGCTACACATAGGACACGAGGCCATGCATTTAGGCTGGAAGAAAGGAGATTTAATCTAAAGCAAAGGAAAGTTGTTTTTTTACAGTAAGAACTATAAGGATATGGAATTCTTTGCCTGAAGAGGTGGTTTTATGAGAGTCCATACAGAGGTTTAAACAGCAATTGGACAATACTTCCAAAAACATAACATACACGGATATAATTTCTAATTAACCCCTTAAGACCGGAGGGCGTACAATTACGCCCTATTTTAGGCGGCTCTAAACGCCGCCGGCCGTAATTGTATGCCCTCCGGTCTTTCTTTACTTACCCGGTTGCCGGCGGTCCCACGCCGGCGATCGCTGGGACTCAGGGAGCCCCCGCCGCACGCCCGACCCCTAGTGCCATGTGAGAGTGAGGTCCTTGCGAGGACCCCACAATCACATGGCCGGGTAGGCTGCCTGCTGCATTGCCAGCAGGGGGGCTGCCTGTAATGACAGGTGGTCCCCCTGCTGGCTGAAAATAAAAATAAAATAAATTAAGTAAGTGTAAAAAAAAATATATATATATATATATATATATATATATATATATATATATATATATATATATATATATATACACACACACACACACACATACACACATATATATATATATATATACATACACTGTCTAGGTGTATTTTACTATTAATATATATATATATAATTATATATATATATATTAAAATCAAATTACACGTAGACTGATACTGATTAAATATATAATTATTGTTATATATATTTATATATAATATAAAAAATTAAATATGTAAATACGTTAAAAAATAAAATTTAAAAAATTATTAAAACATATATAGATGTGTGTTATTTCGTTCTAACTGTATTGTGATATTAATATATATATTTATATCAAAATACATGTAGAACGAAATATATATATCTACATACATAAATATATACGTATATATCACTATATATGATTTTGCTTCCCAAGCACTACCAAGCCTCACTAAGCAAACCAGTAACCAACCTCATGCTGAAGAGTTGCATTAACAACGAAACAGCTGTCCATGAGTGGTTCGCTGGTTTTGCATCTTATCCTAAATTGTGTTCCAAGCAGTTGTATACTGCAAACACAAATTAAAAGGAATCCATGTTTAAAATGGAATGAGGCAAAAATGTGATTCTTTGTTAAACTAATTTGTATATGCCCACCCAGAATCCTTTGCGGTTGTAACATCACTGCTGATTTGGGATTTCTGTGGGAAAAGCAAGTCTTATGGCTTGACTGGTGTGCAGATTTTTGTTTAGCATTGTATTAACTATCTATATATATATATACACACACACACACACACACACACACACACACACCTATATATAAAAAAAAATATTTAAAAAAAATTATATATACACACATACATATATACACATATATTCTACATATATATTTATGCAATATTTTTACATAATTAGGTATCTTAATTAATTACAATTAGCGGGACCTGCCTGACAACCCATGCCGAAAGTAAAGGGAATTTAATTTGCTAGCACTATATTTAACCCTATAACTTTCCGAGACACCATAAAACCTGTACGTGGGGGGTACTGTTCTACTTGGGAGACTTCGCTGAACACAATATTAGTGTTTCAAAACAGTAAAATGTATTACAACGATGATATCGCCAGTAAAAGTGCAGTTTTTTGCATTTTTCATGCACAAACAGCACTTACACGGACGATATTATTGCTGTGATACTTTTTGCTGTTTTGAAACACAAATATTTGTGTTCAGCGAAGTCTCCCGAGTACAATAGTACCCCTCATGTACAGGTTTTATGGTGTTTTCAAAAGTTACAGCGTCAAATATAAGGCTTGTGTTTCATTTTTTCACATTAAAATTCGCCAGATTGGGTACGTTGCCTTTGAGACCCTATGGTAGCCCAAGAATGAAAATTACCCCTATGATGGCATACCATTTGCAATAGTAGACAACCCAAGGTATTGCAAACGGGGTATGTTCAGTCTTTTTTAGTAGCCACTTAGTCACAAATACTGGCCAAAATTGGCATTTTTTGCATTTTTCAACCCACAAATACTAACGCTAACTTTGGCCAGTGTTTGTGACCAAATGGCTACTAAAAAGATTGGACATACCCCATTTGCAATACCTTGGGTTGTCTACTATTGCAAATGGTATGCCATTATGGGTGCAAATTTCATTCCTGGGCTACTATAAAGTCCCAAAGGCAACGTAACCAATCTGGCGAATTTCAATTTCAAATGTAACGTGCTATATTTGACCCTGTAACTTCCCAAAACGCCATAAAACCTGTACATAGGGGGTACTGTTTTACACGCGAGACTTTGCTGAATACAAATATGTGTATTTTATTGCAGTAAAAGCAAACAGTATTAAGACATTGACAGTTAAAATGTCATGTAGAACTAAAAAAATAAAAAATAAACTTATTTTCTCCCATTTTTTTCATATTAAATTATGTTTCATAGCTAAATATTTGATATTAAATGAAAGCCCTGTTTCCCCTGAATAAAATGATATATAATAAGGGTGGGTGTATTTACTATGAAAGAGGTGAATTACGGTTGGACAGACATGTAGCGCAAATGCCAGGTTTTGTTTACATTTTGTTTCGTTCACAATGTGTACATTTGGCTCCGTCTTTAAGGGGTTAATGGGGTAACAGCTGCTTGATCTATGGAGATATCTGACTGCCATTTTGGGGTCAAGAATGAATTTTTTCCTAGTTTGTTGCAAAATTGGAAGTTTTTTGCCTTCTTTTGGATCAACATCAAAAACATATGTGAGGAAGGCTGAACCCTTTTCAGCTATGTAACTAAATTGTAATTTAGACCAACAACAATATATCTTATTTCTAAGCATATTTATTGTAGTTTAATAACACAGAAAAAAAAAGAAGTCCTGTGGAGCTCTGTTATACACTCAGACACACCAACAGAATGGAGAACCTACAGGGACATCAAAATAGAAAAGAGGCACAAACCAATTTAGGCCCAATATAGTAACTGTCCCTCCAATATTGGGATGCTTGGGAGAATGCACGTATGTGTCACTTATCTTGTATGCGCGAGCATGCTGGTGTGGGAAGGTGCCACACTGAAATGGCTGCTTTGTAACTAAACTGGTCAGCCACAGCATTAAAACCACTGACCGGAGAAGTGAATAATATTGATTATAGTCGATAGTAAAAAACAGATCTGTTGGTGCACTGCCCAGAGTAAAAATCCACAAGAGGCAGCTGAGCAACAGCGCTGAGGGGTGCTTGTAACTGCACTTCCCTGAATAAAGGAGATACCCTATTACAATAATAACTTATAGAACCAAGACAGGAAACACCTGAAGTGTACGAAGGCACTTCAGGAGGCTAAGGCAGTAAATATAAAAGCAACTTGTATTGTATAACATGAGCTACAGATAACTTAAACCACAAAAAATTAAGTAAGTACAATAATACTTGAGGGGAAAAAGCTTTAACCATTATGTACAGGGTAGCCACAGGCTGTCAAACAAGGAAGGGTAAATTAGGCTCAGAGTGATCAGTGGTACCTGGGGAATACATATTGTGATTGCTATACGAGCTATATCTGCCAAAGGCTGAACTAAAGCCCAAGATGAAACTCTTTTAAATACTATAGTCACCAGATAGCTTATAGGATCAAGGTAATGTGTGTTGGAGAAAAAAAACACAATAATATAGATAGGCCCCCAAATAGGGCTAAACAATCCTAATAGCAGCTAAGGTTGACAGTGCTTGACAGAAAAGAGAAGTGGGGTAAAAACAAAGCAAGAAAGGTCTAACCCCTCCCCTCTCCCCTTTAATATTGATTATATTGCTACAATGGCCTATATTAGGCAGTAAGTGAACAGTCACTTCTTGAATATCATGGAAGCATGAAAATTGGCAAGTGAAAAGATCAGAGTGACTTTAACAAGGGCCAAATAGTGATGGCTAGATGATTAGATCAGATCTAAAAAAAAGAAAAAAAAAAAAAAAATGGTGTGGGTTAGGAAGGACAACCAGTGAACCGGCGTCAGGGTCATGCACGTCCAAAGCTCCTTGATGCCTGTGGGGCGCGAAGGCTAGTCTGTCTGGTCCGATCACACAGGAGATCTATTGTAGTCTAAATGGCTGAAAAACTGGATGCTGGCCACAATAGAAAGGTGTTAAAGCATCACAGATATGGAACTACATATGGAACTGCACAGCCGCAGCCAGGTCAAAGTGACCATGATGACCCCTGTCCATTGCGCAGAAAGTGCCTTCAGTGGGGACATGAGAGTCTGAACTGGGCCATGGAGCAATGGAAGAAGGGTGCCTGGTCTGATGGATCAGGCTTGGTTTAGATCAGGTGGATGGTGGTGTGTGTGTGTGTGTGTGTGTGTGTGTGTGTGTCTCTCGTTTGTCTGGGGAAGAGATGGCAGCAGGATGCATTATGGGACAAAGGCAGACAGAGGCAGTGTTATGCTCTGGTCAAAGTTCTGCTTGGAAAACATGGGTCCTTGCATTCATGAGGATGTTTCTTTGACCACCTACCTAAAAATGTTGCAGACCACATACACCCCTTCTTAAAATGGTGTTCCCTGATGGCAGTGGCCTCTTTCAGCAGGACAATGCAACCCACCACACTGCAAAAATGATGCAGGAATGGTGTGAAGGAATATGACAAACAGTTCAATGTGTTGCCATGGCCTCAAAATTCCCTAGATCTAAATCTGATTGAACATCTGTGGGATGTGCTGGAACAACAAATCCAATCCACTGAGACTTTAGCTGTAGCTTACTGTCAAAAAATAAAATTGGCTAGAAATCACAAATGGTGTCCACTGTGATTTGGATTTCATTAAGAAAATCATATTCACCAGACAAAAAGGTACACATCTAAACCTTTAATGGTAAAAGGCCTTTGTTAAGGCTGACCTGGAGAAAAGCCAGTGCTCAATATATATAAGGACTCTCACCTACAGTCATGAAAAGAATACCAAGACAAGTACACTCCCACTAAAATATAAATAATCAAAACAAACCTGTGCATTATGCCAAATCTCAGTGTACATTCAAATTAGTTTTTCTACCACTACAAAGGCTATTAAACTGTAAGCTCACAGGTGAGTCATTGTTTAAACAATTAACCTTGCTGTTCTCAAATAAAATTCAAAATGTCTGATACACAAGAGGGCATTACTGCAAACTAATTAACTTATGTGGTGGGCAGGACAGCTGTAATACAAAAGCAAAGAACACAGAAATTAGCCATATGCTGAAATGCCCTGAGAAAACGTGTACCTTGGACTTGCTTGGCAGAATGGCTTCCGAAGGTCAGCCACTACTGGACCTTGTAGGGCCACATATGGTCTTTGAGTAATCCAGTTAGGAGTACTGCATACCTCTATTTGAGGGAAGGAAGGATGGGAGTTCTAAGCCATTCACTTTTAGTCTTATTGAGGATAAACAAGTAGTGGGTTGACTAAGAAAAATATTTATGTATATACAGTACAAAAAAAAAATAAAAAAAAATATTAAATATATTGATAGCCAAGTATCATTATTTCACCATCTATGGAGAAAATGGAAGATGTTGCAGGGTCAAATTAAATCTTATGGGCATTTGGATATAAAATAGTTAATTTGGTCATGAACAGATTTATGTTTAGGTAAAACTATTTGATTTGTGTAAATTTTCCTTTCTCTGTAAATGGAAATGTTTCACACACTTGTACTGATAACATATGTAAACATTTGCAATTGGTTTAGCAAATAAAAGGTAAATCAGCTCCCATAATTCTCTATAGGTGTCAAAGAATCAGAATTCCCTTGTAAGATGCCAAACCATTTTCTTATCTTCCAGAGCATGTTTTGTTTTCTTAGTAGCTTAGGATTTTGAACTCATAATTAAATATGAAGGTCACACGCAGAATACATATTTTTTTCAGCAGTGGTGCTGCTGTTAGGACCAAAGAATATACAAAATTGGTAGGTAACCACAGAAAATCACAAATTTGAGTAGTCATTAGAAGCAGTTAAAGGGATACTATAGTCACCAGAACAACTACAGCTTATTGTATTTGTTCTGTTGAGTATAATCATTCCCTTCAGGCTTTTTGCAGTAAACACAGTTTGTTTTGTTTCCAGAGAAAATGCAGTGTTTACATTACAGCCTAGCAATAACTCCACTGGCCACTCCTCAGATGGCTGCTAGAGGTGCTTACTGGGGCAGTGTTGCACTGTCATTCAGTGTCTCCACCATCTGAATGGAGACACTGAAATTACCTCATTGAGATTCTTTGATGCAATGCCTCTCTATGAGGAGATGCTGATTGGCTAGGGCTGTGTTTCACTGGTGCTGGCTGTGCCACGGTCAGTGTCCGCCAATCCTATGGGAAAGCATTTTGTGTGTGGCTCAGAAAATCATTTCTGATGCTGTCATCCAAGCAGGCTGATTAGGAGAAGAGACAGCAGCTACAGACTTGAATACATGTAAAATGTTACTATATTTAGGGAGGCAGGGGAGCACTAGATGGTGGTTTTAACACTATAGGGCCAGGAACACAAATATGTATTCCTGACCCTTCAGTGTTTCTTTTTTCATGGTGCATTGACAAAGGGATTATCCCAAAACGTTTGTCCTAATAAAGAGTAGTAACACTGTGTTAAATGCACACAGCAACTATTTGCGCAGCTGATATTTTTTTCTATTTTGTTCTCTGGATCTATATGCACTGCCTGAGCAACAGTGGAGGGCTTTATGCTGCCTAGCAAGTACCTGTTTTTTTTGGTTTTCGTCCTCAACCCTTTTTCTTTTTGCATTTATACATTAATAACTTTTCGGTTTTGTAATTTTTTGCCTATTTTTTGTTTAAATAAATAAATTAAGATGTGTGTTTTCTTACTGCCATTTTCCAAATGTTGTGGCAGAGTCGCGTATTTTTGTTTCTAGCATATTAGGACAATTTACTACAAAACAGTGAATGCACTAGACAGTGTCTGTTAGTTGCAATGTTTCTCCAATACATATTTGGGCAAGGAAAGGTGAACATGTAACTGGAAATTAATTGTTTGCCAACACTAGGATAGCATACATATTTCTAGAAATGATTGGCTAATTGAAAGAAAACCATATTTAAAACATTTTGCTTTAATCCACAAGTTTATATTTACAGATGTTAATGTAGATGACAATGAGTTTCAAGTATTATAAAATCTAGAGGTTAGCCACAGCTAAGCATTAAGAAAAATAATGCATTGGTGCATTATAACATTGTTTTACAATAATCAAACCAGTTCAAGGGACACTCCAGGCCCCATAACTTCATCCAAATGGAGTTGTTATGATGCTAGGAGGACTTAGTGTGCAATCTTACCTTCATGATCAAAACCCAAAGTTGCCTCCAGCGACGATCTCAACTCCCCCCAGGCAGCATCTGGCTTCTGAAATGTTAGTTTTAGGAAGTGCAGACTACTGCCGGGCAGGGGCGCCGCTGATTGAGAGCGGCAGCTGACTGCATTCACAACACTGGCTTGAAAAGAAATGTACTTTTATCAAGCCAGTTTTATGAATTGGGGGGGGGTGGGGGGGTGAGGAGGGAAACACTAATTAGCTGAGCGCATCAGCTACTCGCTCTCAGCGCACCCTGCCTACCAGCATAATACGACTCCTGAAATTTAAATTTCAGAAGGCGAATGCTGCCTGGAGGAGGGGAGTTTAGCACACCAGGCAACTTTGGGGGTTAAACGGTTTGAAAACGGTTTTGCCTCCTGGCACCATAACTTAATTTAGATGAAGTTATGATGCATAATATGCCTAAAAGGTCTCTTAAAACGTATTGCGATGTCTGAGTAAACAGAATTCCAGTGTTTATACTGTCTCAGGATTAAGATCAGTAAAATCGGCCAATTCTATTACATTGTGATTGGGTAAGACTATTTAACCCCTTAAGTACACAACTTCTGTAATAAAAGGGAATCATGACTGAATATTTACGTCATGTGTCCTTAAGGGGTTAATGTTTTGTTTTTTTACGTACACCCAACATTTCTTAAATGAAACTAAATAAAAAGGAAAAATGTCTAATTTATATTTCCATTACACCAACTATTTTGTAAGGAGTCCCCCCCCCCCCAGTATAAAAAAATAAATAAAAAAAATTGTAACTTCAATAATAGATACTAAAAAAAGCTGTGGAGATAATATTATATATATATATATATATATATATATATATATATATATATATATATATATATATATATTTTTTTTTTTTATGTTGCACATAACAGATGTGCCTACATTATGCAAGTTACTCCAAGCAGCATAACATCAGCATTTTAAAGTGGTCACGGTACAGCTTTTCAACGTAAAATACTGTTCATACGGAGATATTTTATGCTGCTGCTAGAGGTGTAACTCCACCTGTGACAGCTTTCATTGATCAGCCCTGAGTGAGTTGACTTTAATTTTGTGCATAATCCATGCACAGAAGTGAATGCATTGATAAATAACTCCATCCATATTATGTGAACTGTAGGACACAGAATTAAGATATGTGCTTGTCTAAGAAGATTTCCCTCTACTCTACATGTTTTATGAGCATAATGAGCACTGTCTTATATCACCCTGCAAACACCTCCAGTGAAATTACACATACTACATATAGGCTGGCAATCTAATCAACCTCAGATAATGCACACAGCTGGGAAATATCCTATTGAGCCAGCCAAGGTCTGGGGAACATTGGAAGTGTGAATCACCAGCTAATGCACAAACCCATATTGTACTGGGCTAGCAGAGTACCTGTGTAAAATCTGTTCGCTGCTTTACTTCTGCAGTACTGTCAACAGCATTACAATCTACCGAAGAGTGTAGGCCACAACTTCAAAATGCTAAAGGTCTGGTGGGCAGGTACCCTATGTATAATCACCACAGTGGGCTCTAGAGGTTAAGATGCTCTTTGTAATCCTTTAAATATAGAGAATTGAAGACAAATCATAAAGAACACTTAAGTTTAATATTATGGTACCACAATGTAACACCATTGTGCTTCATGTGGAAATCGAACTATGTTGCTGTAATCCAATAGCCACCAGAACAAGTACAGCTTAATGTAGTTCTGATGAGTACATAACAATTCCTGCAGGGTCATACTATAAACAGAGAAATGGTTGTGTTCGCTACTAGAGGTGTCTCTAGGCAACAGGGGCAGGGCCAAGGCAAGTAAACTTATTTAAAGGGTGGTGGGAACCTAAATAATGTTTAATACTATAGTGTCCGGAATACACGTTTGTATTCCTGACCATATAGTGTTCAGTGAAAAACAAAAGAAGCAAACATAGTGGAAATGAGAAACAGGAAAAACTATTATATAAATTACTGATTAAGTTAAAAGGTTTGCTTTCCATTTTAAAAAAAGAAGGACATTGCGTTTCATATAATCAGTTGAGGACCAACATTCTAAAACTAGAGATTTCATCATTAAAACACAGATTCCTGGTTACTACTCACAATTTGCCCTACATTTGCATCTTCAAATAAAACCTAGAAAATTCCTACAATGTGTTACAATAGCCTCCAGCAGTAAACTGTATTAGAGCAAAGTTTGGTACACACTAAACTAAGTCAGCACATTCCAAAACTTATACGGTTGACGCTTTTTTTTTTTTTTTTATAGATATGTAATCCAATTCTAGTTTATACACGGTTGTCCATATACATCTAAAATATTATTTTATCTTTCACATGACATTGGCTTCATTTACTGCAGAGTTGCACATAGTATATCACCTATACTTAATGGGGTAAGGTTACATGCTGTACATTTAAAGCTTGGTTCAGTCCAACCGTATTAGTAAGTAGTTGTCAGCAGTCTGCATTTCAGGAATAGTCATAACTAAAAAGTAGTATCAATAGCTTAGCCCTTAACGTTTTACTGGCACCTTGATTAGATTTAATTCTATATGACAACTATTGCTCTTTGGTTTTCAGTATTCTGCATCCTGAATGGATTATATTGTAAAACAGACAATGCCTTCAAAAAATGGCATCCTCCTAAGACATAGCAGTAACTTTCTTCTGGCACTAACCTCTACAAACACATGTGAATATTGTGGTTTAGGGCCTAGCCCATGCACACATCAGCAAGAGAACCTTTAAAATACAAATCTGATGAGTACAATTGATTCTCTATTAACAAAACGCACTCACACATACACACTGCTACTTGAATATCCACCACAAACCAATATATAAATAGACATTTATAAAATCTCAACACGTCTGTGGCATAATAAATAAGGGTAATTAATGCAACTAATAGTTGCCATTGTCACTTCATAAATTCACTAATATATAATAATAAAAAAAAAAAAAATATATATATATATATAAAAAAAAAAAAAATAAGTGTTAGATCCATGTCTACATCGCTTCAAAAATTGAATCATGCCTCAAAAATTATATCGTAAACCGCTTTAAAGGGCTCCAGGTTGGGAAGGAGGAAATTAGATTTTCTTTTGAGCACTTCCCAAACAAAAAGTCAGGCATATGCGAGTGCTGGGCACAAGGAGAGAGATGTATATATAAAATATATTTGAAATAAAAGAAAGAAAGAAAGAAAAAAAAAAGGAAAAAAATTATTTAAAAACACTTTTAGGCATGACACTGGTCTAGTAATCATACTTGGGAAGAAATATTATGTAGGCAAATCAACAGTATCTTGTAGCATGAATGATGTAAGCATCTACATTACAAAGAAGTAAGTTTCATGACACTCCAATAAAAAGGCACCGTTGATTTAAGTCCATGTGTATTCATTGATGACATTTTCTGTTGCTTCACGTGATTTTGTTTCTTTTTACCGTGCATGATCAGTCCACTTTAGCCAAATTACTATTCGGGCTTACGGGCCACAAAAAAAATGCAATCATAGTAGTACTTCATCATCGACAAACTATTTACAGTGTAAGTCGAGGTCACAGATTCTCTTTCTACCTGCAAAGTGATATAATGAAAGATATCAAAGATTACAAAAAGGAAAAACCTCCTTTGCACTACATTTTCTAAGGGCTAGTCTACGTGACAAGTTAACTAAACTGTCCAATGGAGTTTCTCACATATATTATGATAATTCGGTTTTGATAGCTATACCAATTATTAATATTACAATCAGTTGTGTTTACGTGCTTTTTGAAACTCAAGTGAAAGTCACATTATGCTAGATATAATTGCATTCAGTAATCCAGATGGCACATAGCACAGTTGTTAACCAATTCCACAAATCTCTGAAATATTTTGTGAGTAAGTAATGTAAAAATATAATTGGTTTATAGCAAAAAAAAAAAAAAATATTAAATAAGCATTTACCTCAATTTGAAATCCATACTGTAGAACAACATTTTTTATATCTTCATAACTTAATTCTATAGAAAGTTCATTGGCCAAGTTTTCAAAATGATAAAGAAGTGGTCCTATGCAGAAACAGAAATATGCAATATTTACAAGTTATGCATTCAAAGAAAGATTTTATAGAGTGCATTAATATGTAATATGAGGTCCTGACTAATTCCTAAGTTATTAATACCCCATCATCGAATATGGAAAAAAATATATGCTTTAAAGCATCATGTCTAATTTGGGGGACTGTTTACTATGGTTGGCTAGGTCAGATTTCAGTTTTATCACATATGATATCACACATTGCCACAGTGGATACAAGTGCACACCAAGAATTGATGGATAACAGTCAGAATTTACAGGCAGGTAGGCTCTTACTAGCCATGTTATAGAATTAGGAGAAGTGGCCAATGTCTAGAACAATACATAAAATAAATAGAAAAGCGCTTTACATAAGGCACCCATAAATTCACAAAGTATTATAGACTGATTTTTCATTTGCAAAGCAGCTTACCTAGGTTTAGCCACAACCCTCCTGGTTTAAGTATTTTCCAGATGGTCTCAATATAGTCAAGGACATTGTGTGCAGTGTCAATAAAGAAACATGTGGCTATGCAATCCCAAGAACCTAAAAAGAAAGTGAGACATATGTTCACAATCATAGCATATTACACAAGTACATGCAAAATAGTAATTTAGGAGCTTATTATGCAGAACACAAAGTATTGAATTAAACTTGCCATTTGTATATGTTAGCAGATAGCTGAAAAGCAATCACTTTGAGAGCATTTTCCATGGCCTAAAAGGTAGCTGCACTAAAGTGTACACGACACACTTATCAGGGCTTCAAATTTACACCCACCACAAGCCACTGGCAAGTGAAAATTTAGCCTTAGCAAGTAGAAATTCACCAACAGTAAGTGTGACAAAACCTCCAGGCATGTAGGGGCAAGTAGCTTTTAAGACCGGCTATTGGTGCAGAACTTGACAGTTTAACATTTTAGACCCTGCTTTTATAATTCTATTTTATCTAATATTTTTACAAGAAAGGAGGGCTGCATGCTCGGAACTGTAATCCAGCACCAGGAAAGTTTACATATTTACAACAGTAAAACATCAAGAGAAAGTCCATGTTTAGCAGCATTCTGCTTGGTATGGTGACCCCAAATGTGAAGACCTTTGCCTTGAGGAGGAAGTGCATTAGTGTCGGTCAGTATGAGCCACCAGAGACGTGTTCTCTGGCAAATCTAAACATTGACAGAAAGTTTGCCTGTAAACTTACTGCAGGACCAATATTGCAGCAAAATGTTAGGATCCATATATAAAACTTGAAGCGATACTATTCACATCCAAAAGTGAACTCACCACTCTCCGTGTAGATTTCCTGAAAGTCTCCAGCAGTCATAGAGAAATTTGAATTTTCTGGAAGGCTTTGAGGATTGACATCAGGGAAGTAAGTTGGCCTTATCTGATCTATCGATTTGCGGTTGTTACTAAACTGATGGATCCAAGGATAAAGCTTAAAAGCATTAATTTCAGAACATCTGAAGAAAGGAAAAAAATATTTAAAAAAAATAAAATACATTAGTGAAAAAGCAACTTACTGAGGTTCAGTTTTTTATATATTTATTTAGGCTACGTTTTGCTACCACAAGTGTAGTTTCAGAAATAAAAACTATGCATTATACACATTAGTCTCTTGCATATACCCATGCCAATGTATTCTTCCACGTCTCTCACTGCCTATGGATGTGAGCAGCTGGGGAGATGAGGTGTTAATGAGGAGGAAAGCTGACTCCGTTTGA